TAGGCAAAAGAATTGTAGATATTTCTCAAAAGAAGGCATACAAAAGGCGAGCAGATAATGGAAGCAATGCTTAGCATCACTAATCTTTTGGTATATACTAATTAAACCAAATGAGATATCCTCTCACACAAGTCACAAGGCTGTTCCAAAAAAAGATAACAAGATAACAAGTCTTGACTGTGCCGTGGAGAAAAGTCAAGTCTTGTGCACAGATGATGTGAATGCAAACTAACCTAAGTTGAACATCCTTAATTTGAAAGTCTGAAATCCAGAAAACCCTCTGAAATCCAACCTTCTGAACACTGACATGATGCCACAAATGCAAATTTATACATGGTGAAATGTGCCTAATATCATAATTAAATTACTCTCAGCCTATGAATAATAAACATGAATGAATTTATGATTAGAATCAGAAACTGAGTAATGAATCATAAATGAATTTTATATTCAGATGTTTTCCCAACTCCACAATATTTCATTATGTATATTAAAATATTCCAAATATCAAAAGCATCTGAAATTTCTGTTCTCACATAAAAACCAAATGGTTTTTCAAAAGCCTAGAAGTGGAATTACCATATGAGCTATGAACTCCGTTCTAGGTATTTTCCCCCAAATCTTTTCAATTTGTGGAAGAGATGTGTCTACCCTGCCCTGTTTATTACAGTACTATTCATAACAGTTACGTTATGCAAATATCCAAAGTTTCCATCCATAGAATAACAAATAAAGAAAATGTGTCATATATTTACAGTAATATTAATTTACAAAAGGGAGGAAATCTTGTCATTCTTGACAACATTCATAAAACTGAAGATCATTAAACCAAGCACAGGAAGATAAGAATTTTATGATTTCACCACACTGTGGCACCTAATATTTGACTTCTTGTAAATTAAGGGTGAAACAGAGCTATAAAGATTGCGCAGAGTAAAGGAGAAGGAAAGACAAAGAAAAGTAGGCCAATGAGCACTGAATTACAGATGTTAGGAGAAATAAACAAGTCTTCTTCTAAGTAACCCACATTTCAGAGTGGAGGTTCAAATAAACTTAAAGAATGGTTTGACCAAAACAAAAAAGAAAATACAGGATGACAAAATCCTGTGGAATGAAGCTAAACAATTATATAGCACACATCTGTACTTTTAAGTACATTGGCAACTGTACAGGACAGAGGAAATTCTTCTTCATTATTAGTAAGAATGTAAATAGTATAATTACCATGGAAACCAATATGGAGATTGCTCTAAAAACTAAAAATAGAAATTCCATTTGACCCACCTACTCGCTTTCTATGTATCTTCCTCAAAGTGTTAAAGACACCACGTTATAGTGATGTATGAATACCCACGTTTATAGCAACACAACTCATATAGCTAAATCTTGAAAGTAGCTTACATGTCCACATTGGATGAACAGATAGAGAAAATGTGGCACTTTTGCACAGAGGAGTACTCCGAAACTCGTGTCATTTGTAAGAAAATCGATGTACCTCACATCAAGTGTTAAGTGAAATAAATCAGAAACATTTAAATATCATAAAATTTGTCTTACATAAGAAAGCAAAAGTATAATTAAAGAAGAAAATAAAATATGTATAATAGGAAATAGGGAGATAGACCTTTCACAAATGAGAAGAAAAGGATAGGATCAACAGGGGAGAGGAGACAGGTGTAAAAAGATTGCAGTGTCACATACGAACTACCTGCATGTATATATACCAAATACCCAGAGTGAATGTATTTTTTTAGGTACCACAAACATGTACTAATAAAAAATGAAAATAAATACATCAGAAATGAAGATTTAAAATGAATGATCTAAACTTATATCTTAACAAGTTGACAGACGTTAATAGAAGGTGAAACCAGTCTCAGAGAAACAGAAAACAGAAATACAATAGAAAAAAACAGCAAATCAAGACATTGTCTGGATAAACTAGTAAATTAATTAAATGGATACATTCTCCTCAGAGAGAACATGTGTCACTATTAGAAACAAGAGGAGATGTAACTATGGATTTTTAGACAGTAGAAGGACATGATGAAAAACTTTATGTCAAATGCTGGATTATTAAATGAATAAATTCCTCTCAAAATCAATATCTGAAAAAAAATCACAAAAATAAATGGAAATTGTAATAGTCTTTTGTTAGAGATTACATTCACTATTAAAAATGTTTTCCTTCTAAATTTTTCTCCAGAGAACATTACTGGTAAACTTTGTCAAATACTTAATAGAAATAAATAATTTTACATATATTGTTGTAAAGAAAAGAAATGAAGAAAATATTTCCTCCATCAATTATGGGCTGACACAAAAGTAGTATTTGATGCTGATCTGTGTGGGTCATTTGGAAACTGCTTCTCTCTTTTCTGTGATGGACCTCCAGGGTAACCAAGGCAAGGGAACATGGCAGGAGGGCGAGGGCAGAGTGCACAGGGGCAAATAGCCCATGAGGCTGAAGCAGCCATCTCCCAAGCCTAGGTTGAAATTGTGAGAAGGCTGAGAAGGGAGGCAGCTAAATTTCCTAGACACATCGCCAGCCCAATGCAGCCTGAAGAATCTGGAAAAGGAACAAAGGCCACAGTCCAGGGATTCTGATGAATAAGGGCCCTGTGCTGTCAACTAGGCATCAGATGGCAGGAGAGCTGCTGAGTGGATCATACAAAGAGCTGTGGAGTCACGTGACAAAGAACTTCCTGATTTGGAGGCATACTCCTTAATTCAGGGCTTGGTAGCTCCACAACTATAGCCCCTTTGGCTGATTTCTGAGGTAGAGGAAGGGAAAAGAAAAGCAGACACACCAGCATGCAAATGGTCCACACTCAGTTTATTGGTTCCTTCAGCTGCGAACAGGAGAAGAAAGGTAGCATCTTCAGTTCTCAGGGAGACCTTAGTAGCATCTTCTGCCTTTTCACGGGTTTCCTAGTTACTGTAGGAGAACAAAGCACACATGCTCAGGGTACTGATAGCAAACTCCATTCTGCTGCAAAGCATGAACACAGGGTGCTGCTAAATGAGGGATTCATGGGACAGAGAAAAGATTTCTTTAAAATTCACAATTTTGTTTCCTAAACATTTTGTGAAGAGAAAATTACTTACAGTATTTTTTCTATGATTTCTGGAGTACTATTTTAGTAAGTATTTGCAAATGAGAAATTTTAATATTTTTAGATATGAAATTTTGTGAATGTAACAATTTACTATACTTACCTTTTAAAGAAATTTAGATTCTATGCATATCATTTTTTGCTTTTCTGATATCTTTGAAATAATCATTTTTTGGATTATACATTCAAAACATTTTTTTTGGTCCTATGAACTCATATACCATAATCAGCTACTCTCACAGTACCAATAGACTGATTATAAGTTTGTTTCATGAAGTAATTTAGCTATCTTACATATTATTAGCTTTAACTTTTTAATGCTGCTCTAATAATGAGAACACAGTCTCCCTAAATGCAAGAGAATTAAAATAGACTAAAAATTTACTAAGATTGACAGGTAAGCTTTTCAGTTGTAAAGGCAATCCAAACAAGTGATGTTTTCCTTTGTGTGTCCCAGAATAAGACATATTCAGTTTCTGAGTTTGTTTTACAAACTAATTAAAATTATCCTTTCTCTTATTATATTGCAGAAGGCTTCTTCCCAAAAAACCAAAACCTAGGCTTCAATAATAATTTAGTTTAAGAGTTGTTTAGTCAATTTAGAATACATAATATTAATTTGGTTTTGATGCAGTACTGTGTCAGTTGTGGCTGCCTCAAAAACACTGGGTAATTTTTGTGAATTATCAGTTTTTCTTTGTTACTTTTCTCAACCTACTTATTTACTAAGAAATACTTTCAAGGTTGCTTACCTGCTGGTATACTCTTGGCTACTATCTTCTGACATGGACCTACATAAAAATATCATTGATAAGTTAATACTAAGAAACTTGACTACTATGTGAATGAAGAAAATGCCACTCTATGTAAAAATCAACTTTTTAAACATTTAGGATATGCGCATGTATATTGTTACTCTTTCTGCAAATACCAAGTACAATACACTATGCCAAATTTAAATTCTGCAGTGGAGTGGTCTAAAGATAGCAGAGATCATTTTGTCTTACAACTTCTCAGCACAGAATATAAATTTGACTCTAATTTCCCGAAGCAGGTATTCTGTTAATTGTTTATTTACTGACATATACATTGCTACATGTCGTAACTTAAAATTCTGTACTTCAGGGTAATCTGGCAGGCTGGACTGCTAGGACAACTTCAAATGGTGAGGCAGGCACTGCACGCCTAGGTCCATGTGACAAAGCAGAGAGTCAGCAGCTCAATTCCACCACCCACAAGTTTGAATCACCAACCACAGAAACTGTGCCATTCATTGTTCAGAGCCAGGCAGAAGCAACCTGAAGTCTCTCCTCCTCCCAGTGTAGATCCCTACACTCAGTGCATGCAGAATTACTATGAGATTTTCTGATGTTCCTGGGGTGGAGCTCACAAAAATAAAGTAGTAAATATCCTAGACCATAGCAGAGTAAAGAGCAAAATTCACACACCAAGATCAACAGAGAATACAAAAAACTTTAAAAAGTGTTTTAACATCTCCAGCAGAGATCAAGGCAGGAGTAACACAAAATATGCTGATTGCCAAAAGTGTCAGTGCTAATAAAGTGGTATGCAGAAGTCAAATGATGTCAGACAGATAGGTGTAAGTACATATTTATGGGAAACTCAGGAAGAAATGTGGAAGCTAATTTTTTTTTTTTTTGAGAGAGAGAGAGTCTCACTCTGTAGTTCAGGCTGGCCTTGAATTCACTATGTAGCCCAGGTTATCCTAAACTCACATTGATCCTCCTTCCTCAGTCTCCTGAGAGCTGGGATTACAAACACGTGCCACCATGCCCTGTAGAAGCTCAATTAGGAAAACCCTGCTAAAGGAAGTTATTTCAGATGGAGAAAAAAAAAAACTAACATATCTGTAATCAGAGCAGCTACACTGAAGACAGCATTGTGCAAAATAACAACCATTGTTGAATACCTTTCATCTTGTCATTGTTTTCTTCTGGTTTTTTAAAGGTATATAATTTCTAATATTTTATCTATTATTTTATACTCTCTTTAAAATAAATTTTAAAAAATAAAGAGAAAAAATTATTTCAAAGTTTATGGAAAGGAAAAGTTAATTTTTTAACTACTTGATCAATCTTTCATGCCTACATCAGGTAGTCTGACCAACAAATTTGATGATAACAATACGTAATACAATAACCATTCTTCATTTCCTACCCTTGTTTTGAAATTCTGTACCACTTTTACTGTTTTCTGATGCTTTTTTTATTTATTGATTGATTAATTGATTTTGCGGAACTGGGGATTGAACTCACACCCTTGCGCTTGCCCAGGGTGCGCTTATTCTACTGAGCCACCTCCCTGGCCCTGTTTTTGTCTTTGTTCTTATTTATTTTTGTTTCCTCTTTTTAAAAAAAAAAGTCAAGAATTTAATAGATTCAGTGGAACCCTGAAATTTAAAGAATTATGTCCCTAGAACATACATGAATTGTGAAACACCGCTAATTTCAGATCTGATCAGAAAAATGCCTATAAATGCCTATTTTACAGTTTAAACCCTAAATATGCTATGTAGTCCAAGGTTGGTAATTTAATTTAATAAAATACATATTAGTACATTCTTAGAAGGTACAGTGTGTTTTGGAAGCATCTGAGGAACTTCAGGACTTTAAGAAGAACAAAACCAGGAACACTGTAGATAGCTATGCCCTGCACAGCCCTGTTAGGATGAGTGAATGCACCTGCATCTGCCAGATGGATTTCAGAGCAGCAGCCAATCAGCAGCAAGGAGCTATCTGCAAATCTCTTGCAAAAAAATAAATGCCGAGGATATTTACAATTTCTGTGACATTATAGGGGTTTTCATGAACAATTATTAGTTAGATTCTAGGGAAAACTGAGCCCAAGAACCCTGAATCACTATTGTAATAATTGAATTAATATCCTGAGTCCTGATAGCTCATAACTGCATTGACTCCAAAGCCAGATAAATTTTTAAATGCTGTATCAAACCATATACTGATAATATTTTAGACAAAACAGGAACTTTGGTATGCCACTCCGGCCCCATCCCCAGGGCAAACTTAGCCTGCCACCTAGTCCAGTCATGGTGACACATGCCTATAATCCCAGTGCTGGGGAGGCTGTAAGCAGGAGGATCACCACAAGTTTAATCTGCATAGTGAGGCTCTGTACAAATACTAAAATGTGAAAGAAAAAAAAAAAAGGAACTTTTAAAGCCACCTAGAAAAACACACACACACACACACACACACATTAATTGGAAGAGAATAATTAGACTGATAACTGATGTCCCCTTATTTTTCTTAAACAGTACAAAACCAAAATATTTTTAAAAGAGTTTCAGGAAGTGACCCTCTGCTAAGAGAGTAAGTGAATCTCTTAACCATTTAAGGTATCTTTCTAAATGAATATGAAAAAAAAGTCACGTACAGGCATTTACCAAAAAATGTTTATAACACACAGATCCTAAGTAGCACAAAGTCCTGAGTTTGATTTCTGGTACAAAAAAAAAGTGTTGATGGATGATTTTAAGTCTTAACATAAAAGTGACAATAATACAATAAAGTAAAATATTTTTAAAAAATGATAATCAATGGACATGTGGCTGCAAAAATCTGAAAGACACTGACAGTAATATGGGAGAATTTCTGATCAGAAGTTCCTGTGAAATGATCGAACAATCTTCTCTCATTTAGGAAAAGGCTGGAGATACTGACAGAATTTAGACATTTAAAAATTAGTTTTACTAAAGTAGTGATCAGTACGGCCTAGGTAGGATTCATCCTACTTCAGTGCTGTTTTGGCTTCAGCATCCTTTCCCAGTGGCTCTCTGCCTGTTAAAAGCTACATCAGAGATGAATGAGCTGAAAGCTACAGCGGCAAGTGAGGCTGTAAAGAGTGAAATGAGCAAGCACCCTAAAAATGTTTGCCTGGTGCACAGTAAACCAGAATTCTAGACCAGTGGATTAACATTTCAATTTAAACTATTCTAACTATAATGAGCATTTTCCTGTGGACAATGCTGTCAACCCTCATTGAATATATGTGAATAACAATTCCCAGTTAACTAGTTTTCAGGATGAGAAATAGTATTAGAAGAAATGGGGGGGAATTTAAAGCATTACAGATACATGAATGTGTTTTACACATGAGCATGTAAACACAAATGTACAGACTTGTCCTTTTTTTCTAGAAAAGTTACACTTCTTTTAAGAAAAGTTACACTTTTAATAACTTTTTAACACTGGGTTAAGTCATGCAGTTACAAAATGGTTAGAAATTTCTGAAAGGGCATTGTTTTTTTTTTTTTTGGGGGGGGGGTTTAAAGGGCTCATCCTTACATAAATGGTATCCAGTACTCCATTAGGACACTACAGTTCAATTTGTATGCACTTTTTCTTTGTCTTTTTAAGACAGGGGCTCACTGCAGTTAAAACTCACATTGAACTCACTTTGTAGCTTGAGCTAACCTCAAATTTGTAGAAATCCTCCTGTCTCAGCCTTCTCAGTGCTGGGGCTATAGGCATGTGCCATCAAGTCCCTGGCACTCCTACACACTTTTATACTTTTGTTGTATTGCTCACTTACCATAAATCACCTATTCTGCTGCTTGTTGGTCATGCAATATCGAGTGAGATAAGCACAGTCTTTATCCTTGTAAATAACACGAAGTATGAAGGCATGTATCTCAAGGTAGGACAAAACAACCAAGACTTGTTACAATGGAGCACTAAAGCATAATTCCCTTGGTCACAATAACAAGAGCGGGCATAATAAAGAAAACTAACCCTTTTGGTTTGAAGAAATGAACTTATGTTTCTGAAGTGTAACTTTAAAGGCCATACCAATAAAGGTAACAATAATGAGATTAAAGATAAGAAAAGCTTTTGAATGAAGAGATACTTCAAGAGTCTACCCTATGCATTTGGAATAGAACTTGACTGAGAGGAACCCAGAAAGAATAACACCACCCCTATATGCATGTAAACAGGACCATAAGTGAGAAAAGGAGTAGAAGCCCCAAATAACTTATATATACAGACCTATCTATCTTTCAGAGTATGAAGGGACACTAAGTTAAGATTACTTTGTAATACCAAAAGACTATGGGAGGAACACAAGTTTGCCACTTAAGAATAATTTTTCCTCAGAAAATTTTTCCCAAGTAACCCAGTAAGCAGGCCTTCGCTCCGCTGTTTGTGAGCTTAAATACTGACTTTCTAGTTCCAGATTCTTCAAAAGGATTAAATATACCCTATATACACTCCTGAGTAAGGAAACAGATTCTGTGTGTAAGTTAACCTCCTAAATGTTTCTCTCATCTTTGATTTCTTTGCTTCCATAGAATAAACTTCCAAAGTACATTAAACTAAAAAAAGAAAATACAAATTTGCTTATGTAAACACAAGTTAGCAGAATGGCCAATAACAATTGGTTGCCTTTTAAATATAATACTTCAAAAATCAAAAAACTCTGTTAAATGTGGGTACCTAGCAGTTAATTGATGGTTATCAGGTTATTTCTAGTGATATTTGACGTATATCAAATATAAATAATACCTACTAATTTACTTACTTGGTAGCATCTGTTTGGCTGCTGCTTTCTGCTCTGGATCTAAATATGAAGGAAAATAATGTTCCTAAATAATGCTTTAAAATGAATGTCAGTGAACAACAAGTGAATGCCAAGTCATTATGTAACTTATACCAATAACCACTTTTAAAGAGCAATTTCAAAAGATTAATAAAATAGGTTGTGCAAATAAGAAAAGTATTTATTTACTCATATACCAAGGAAATAAGAGAATAAATTCTGAACTTCCACCGTGCTTTTGGGATCCCTCCAGACTGGCCCAAGCCCAGTCCCTGCGCGTGTGTGGGAGAGCTTCTGTGCTTTCCTGTGCCTGCTGGACCCAACCAGAAGAAAACCAGGCCCACCGCATGCGTGAGACCTTTCACCACACATGCGTGAGACCTTTCACCACACTCTCGGGACCCCACAATCCCTCCAGAGTCAGCCCAAGCATGCCTTGTGAGTGAGAACTTCCGCTGCACTCTCGGGACCCCTCCAGTCCGGTCTAAACCCAGGTCTGGTAAGTGTGTGACAGAGCTTCTGTGCTTTCCTGTGCCCCTGGACCCCTCCAGACTCAGCCCAGGCTTGGAATGCAGGCCTGGGCCAGAACCACCCAGATAATCCAGGAGCAGAATATTTTGTCAGAGGGGCACAACAGGTTCATCTCCAAGGACTGCAGCAGGAAGGCGTTGAGCACAGTAGCCAGACCCAAGCCAGGCACAACTCGATGAACTCAATCTTAGTAGATCTGCACCCAAATTTCAGTAGGTGCTAAGGTTATAACTGCACCAAAGCTCTACATCAAAGGTCAAAGAACAGTGCTATACAAAATGACAAAGAGAAGAAGCAAAATGCAATCTCAGATACTGAGCCCACCCAGAACAAGTGCAAAGAACACTAGCACAGCTAAAATGCATGAATTAATAGCATCTGAAGTAAAGAAACAACTGCAGAAAGATATAGAGGAACTCAGATCAGAATGAATCTCCAAAACAAAAAAAAAGCTCTGAATTAATAGCATCTGAAACAAAGAATCAAATGCAGAAATATATGGAAAAAATCAGATCAGAAATAATCTCTGAAGTAAAAGAATTAATAACTGCTTCTCAAGAAGACACTGATAAAAAAAATAGAGATTAGAAAAGCAATAAATTCCTTAAATGAGCAATACATGAAAGAAATAGATCGCATGAAGCAGAGCCAAAGAGATATAGAGGAACTTAAAATCTCAATCACAAGCTTGCAAAACTATTTGAGTAAAAGTGAAGACAGAGTTTTAGATCTTAAAGACGCTGTTGCAGCTAGTAAAAAGGTAAGAAAAGATCTCTTAAAAACAACTATGATGGGGGGCTGGTGAGATGGCTCAGTGGTCTAAAGCACCTACTAGAACAAGCTTAGCAAAGCACAGAGACCGCGGTTCAATCCCCCA